ATTTAACAAAACAAATTAGGAAACAATCATCTGTCTGGCCGTGGACTGGCTATTGGAGAACTCTGTATATGAAGTAGCAGGAAAATCTGAGTCATCCCTGATCTATAACATGGCCTTCAGTGGATGAATTGGGAGGCAGAAAATGTTTCCAAATCTGCTCTGATTCAGTACAATACTGGACAATTGTTAGGAGTCCTTCTTCATGGTGTTCCTTTGATTTAACTATGTTACATATTTTCTTCACTTTGCTTTTCATAGATTTTTAATTGAAATTATTCATCACCATTAGAAACTTATGAATATTTTTCCTATCACAAATGTAAATTGCCTAGAAATTATTCTAAATCATTATTTTCAGGGACAAAAAAATCCATGGCAATGCTCCCGATTTAGCCTTTGATGCCTTGCTAAAAACTTGAAAAGATGCTGAAGCGATGCGATCGAAGTGCCGTTTGCTCCTCTGCTGCTTGCTTGACGGACAACATAGTCCAGAAGATGTTGCAGTTGTCATTATAAGAAAGTAAATTTTAAGCTATTCATTTTTGGAACATCAGTGAACTTAAAAAGAAAAAAGTACCCACACATTTGCCCTTAGAAAATATGTTAATTAATTTTAATCTACATTTCATAGTCTTCTTACGCCAAAATGGTTGACTGCTTGCTATATCTTTAATCCCTAGCTCAGTGCCTGGAATATACGTAGTCCTCAACCAGTGCCGATTTAATGAGTATTGAATAAAAATTATGTGCTAGACAGAAGAACATGAGAGCAGTCTTATTCTTTAACTATGAAACTTGAACAGAGATTTTCGCTAATAAATAATTGAGGTTTACTGGACTAAAAGTCTCCTGGAGAAAGTCTCAGATGCATGTATGCTCCTTAGCCACATTTCTAGTTATTTCTGATCAGAGAGTTTCAGGTGAAAAGAGCCTTGGACCGTGAAAAGTGAGAAGAACATTTCTGTCCATATAGATCCTGTTTGTAACTGTAGGCATCAGCTGTAAAGTAAAATAAAAACAATGGTCTTCTTATTTGTAAAGAAACCTGTTTGGTCTTACCTACAAGTAATTCAAATGTCAGAAACTATTACTTTGGGTGGGGAAACAGCCTGTGAATACACATTCACACATTCAAGCTAAGATTATACTCCAAGTGCTTCCTGATGGTGATATTGAATTCTAAAAATGGGGCAGTCTGCAGTTCACCTTCTAAATCTAACATCACAATCATTTAATCATCTTGGGTTATTTTTATAGTCAAAGAGATGAAAAGTCTTAATAGGATGAGGTGGGTAAAATTTATCCTAAGTTTCTAGAAGCATTTGTGTTTCCATCATGAACCAAAGCAAATTAATAATAGTTCTATTAAATTATGATATTCTACAGAGGAAAATACTTGGCAAAAATTTTTTTTAAAACAACAAAAAACAAGCTTCTAATATTTTCCCAACCTAAATAGAACTTTAGAAGATCAAAAAGGGGTCAAGGTATGTTAGAATAATGTGAAACCTTTTGTGAAGACAAATTTGTATTTTTAAGGGCAAATGTTGGTCTTACATAGAAGCCCTGGTAGCACAGTGGTAAAAGCGCTTGGCTGCTAACTGAAAGGTTGGCAGTTCGAACCCACCAGCGTCTCTTCGGGAGAAAGATGTGGCAGTCTGCTTCCATAAAGATTTACAGCCTCCAAAACCCTGTGAGGCAGTTCTACTTTGTCCTGTAGTGTCACTATGAGTCAGAATCGATGGCAGTGGGTTTGGTTTTGGTTGCTCTTACAGTACTGTTACTCACATGCCCATAGAAAAAGTCAAATACAGTTTCATCGTGGGGTTATTTTCTTTTGTCTATCAGACATATTTAAATTTGATAAAATTCACTTTTAAAAAGTTAGATGTGCGATTTTATATATTATAAATGATACTCAATTCTGTCCCAAACTCTATTTAGGCATATTCAAACCTTAATATTACATAATCTTTGCTAGGATTGTTTCTTAACAATCTTGCCATTATTACTGCATGAAACTATATAAACATATTTACCTATTTTCTCACTGTAGTAGTATATTGTTTCTCTATATTAATAAAACAGTAAATAACCAAAAACCTAACCCATTGCCCTCGAGTTGAGCTCTAGGGCAGCTCCACATAGTTCAGAGTAGAACTGCATTCCATAAGGTTTTCAGTGACTTTGATAAGGAGCCCTGGTAGTGTAATGGTTAAGCACTTGGCTGCTAACCGAAACGTAGGGGGTTCAAACACACCAGCTGCTCCATGGGAGAAAAGACCTGGAGATCTGCTCTGGTAAAGATTATAGCTTACAAACCCTATGAGATAGTTCTACTCTGCCATATAGGGTCGATATGAGTCAGAATCAATCCCATGGCACAAAACAACAATAACAACAATCTTATGGAAGTAGATTGTCAGGCCTTTCTTCCACAGCACCACTGGGTGGATTTGAACCATCAACCTTTGGTTAAGTCAAGAGCAAACCATTTCTGCCACCCAGGGAAGCCTGTAAAACATTACAAATAATATTGTATGTTAGCTTAAACGTGTACCACTTTGACCAGTGTTTGAAAGCAAAACTCAGCTCTTTATGAGCAATATACCATATGTTATTAGTAAGACCTGGGTTTTTCCAGTATCTAAAGTTATACAAAGTTATAGGGTACTTTAGTTTGATTCTCACCTTATACAAGAAAAAGATAATAGCATTAAATCTCTAAGTTGTAAGCGTGTTATCATGATTCGGCTTTTGTAATTTTACTTGGGTCTCTTCCTGGGCTTTTGTTGTGTGTATTTTTTGGATAGACTTGTCAGGGCTCAGAGGAGGGGAGAAATGGTGGACCTATTCTTTCATATAAAAGTGATACCAGCCCTTTGCTGCTTATGCCTTTTGTCAGCTCTTTTGTACTGTATACTTTGGGGGCCTCATTTCCCAAGTGCAGTATTTTCTAAAACTGAAGAGAAAAATGGAGAATAGTGAAACATCAGAAAAGAGCTCAAAGCAGGAAAAATGGATTGAGCAAAGCAGTAACGGCATCATCCAATACTATCGAAAACTTGTGTCATAGCCTAAAAAGATACTTGGATTCATTTCAATAACTAGAGAAATATTTAACCACTGCAAAACTCATTCATATGACTAAATGAGAATTCTTAGTGGTACTAACCAAAAATAAAAAATAAAAACCCATTGCTGTTGAGTTGCTTCTGACTCATAGCGACCCTATAGGACAGAGTAGAACTGCCCCATAGGGTTTCCAACGAGTGGCTGGTGGATTCGAACTGCCGACACTTTGGCTAGCAGTTGAGCTCTTAACCACTGCACCACTGGTATTACGTTTCTCAAAATAAATCTAAGAAGTTACTTCTCCCACCTGTACATCATTTCCAGAATTACATTCTTGAAATATTTAACTTTAGTCACTTTGAATCGGAATCGACTTGATGACAATGGGTTTGGGGAGCCCTGGTGACACAGTGGTTAAGTGCTCACTGCTAACCAAAAGGTTGGTGGTTTGAACCCACCAGCTGCTCTGCAGGAGAAAGATGTGGCAGTCTGCTTCCGTAAGGATTGCTGCCTTGGCAACCCTATGGGGCAGTTTTACTCGTCTTGTAGGGTCGCTATAAGTCGGAATCAACTCCACGGTAATGGGTTGGTTTGTTTGTTTTGGATACTAGAACACTAATATATGCATTTACTTTGTAGAATGATAATACCACCTTCCAATAAGTAGTCTTGGACAGATAGTATCTGGGAGTATCATCCCTTGTAATAAAAATTTAAACTTCTAATCATTTGGCTCTGGATAGTGGGTAATTTTCCAGCTGTAGGAGTGATCACAAAGCTTAGCTTTATTTGTTTTATATATTTTATTTTTAAAAGTGTATATTGATTAGGATGAATGTGTTCTTAATATTTACGGACTATGTGAATAGCATTTGGATTTCACCATCTTATAGGGTAATCCTTCCAGAAAAGAGCTCTAAAATCTAAATCAGTTTTGTTCCGTATGAAAACCATTCAGACTTCTATTCAATCCTGTTTCTCATCTTCAAATAATTCTCTTTTCTATTCCAACACTTGCATAATATCTTTAAGCAATTCATTTTTGGTTGCTATGTAAAGAAATCATTTAAAACAGCTAATAAAAATTCAGAAAGGTAATTTGCATTGGGGGTGGGGTTAATTTCCTCCATGTTGAATTATGCACGATAGACGATATTATTTGGGAAATTTTATAAATCCCCTTTTTTGGCAAATGTGTATAGCATACTGGCTAAGGCTGCAAATACTAGAACCAGATTACATGGGCACTGACGTTTGCTAGTTGTGCAACCTTTGTAATATTTAATCTTTCTATGTCTTGATTGTTTCTTCTGTAAAATGGAAATAGTAATATTACCTTATATAGGACTTTTGTGGGATGAAATAATATATGTAAAGTATTTAGAACAGAACTCTTGGTGTTAGCTACTATTACTATTATTCATAGGTATCAACATAAAAATCTTGCTGAAAAGGCCCAAGCATTATCTCAAATTAGTAAGATTTCTTTGCATATGTAACGTATACACTTGCCATGTATATTGGCACATTAGCAACACTTTAGATAAAGGATCAATAGCATTGACTAGAAAGAAAAATAACACAGTTATTTCAAAATCTTGGTCGATGTTGCAGTTTTTATTTGCTATGTTAATTGTAAGTCTGGTCTTATGAATTTTCATTACTGAGAGCACTTTAACATGGCTGCTAATAATTATATAGTTTACGTAAGTGGTAAAAGTTTTACAAATTCCTTCAGTGACTTGGCTTCCAAGAGCCACGTTGGTCTATTATGTTGTTAGTTTAAGAGCAACACTTCTGGGGACCTAACCGATTCAAGGAAGATTATTTTGTTTACGTTTCAAGACTCCTTTGTGAGGCTTCAGGGCTTTCAGACGTAAAAGATACTACCTTATTCACCATTTCTCCATTGATTTGCTTTACAGCTTGCAGTTTCCCACAACGATGAGTGGACTCGATTTGCCAGGACCCTCGTGGAGATTCGCGCTAACAGAGCTGATAGCGAGGAGGAAGGCACGGTTGAGTTAGCTGCCTAGTGGAAACCAGCTGCCCCTGCCCCAGTCCCCCACCTTCCTGGTCCTAGAGCTCAGCCTCCACAGTCCTCTCGTCTGCTTGTATTCAGTGCCCATTCAGTATCAGTATTGCTCTGACATTTTGGGTGCCATGTTGTGCCAGCTTTGCTCCAAATGTTCCAAATTTATCCCGCTGTGCTCTCCACCTGAAACTCGCCAGAGCATTTCTATCTTTTGTGTCTCAAAAATGAGGGGGGGGGGAAACCTTTATGGGTTTAGTTGTTGCCTTTTAACTACTTAGTAGCTGTATTTATTAGCTGGAAACCTCTGGTTAACTTTGTGCTTACATGCACTTATGGCATAGTCCTATTAAATCCATATGAAGCCAGATATGATTAGGTGCAGATGTGGTGTGCTTCATGGTATGGTACAGGGCCAAAGACTTGAGATGTGGTGTTTCACATGGTGACTCACGTTATGAATGGATTTACTATAAGAATGTTGCTGCTCCTTATTTATTGTGGTGTGCTGCATGGAATGTATTTATTTGAAAGCATTAAAATAAACGATCCTAGAGCATGTGCATAATGAGAGGACTGCATTGTCTCTCTGTGCAGTTGAGGTTACATTAAGTTCCAAATAACAATTATAGTATGTCAGTTCCACTGAGGACGTGAAATCTTTAAAGGTCTGTTGCAGTGAAAGGAATGATTTTTAATGCCTATTATTTCCAGGTACTTTAACAATATTTCAAATATAGTTGACCATTGATACTTGTCATTCAAGCAAACACAGTCTGACAAAAGTCTGTGGTTCCTAAATATGACAGTAGTATTGCCAATAAAATGTTCCAAACCAGGTCTGTACCAGTGTGGATAAATCCTTCGCTTGGGGAAAGCCTGACTCGGAATTCCACTGAGATTGGGGGGTGGGGGGAGATACATTATGACCATATTAAAAAAAACAGTTGCTGTTGAGTCTACTCCGATTCATGGAGACCCCACGTGTGTCAGAGTAGAACTGTGCTCCAAAGGAGTTTCGATGGATGATTTTGCAGAAGTAGGTCACCAGGGCTTTCCTCCAAGGCGCCTCTGGGTGGACTTAAACCACCAGCCTTTCGGTTAGCAGCCGAGCATGTTAATCATTTACACCACCCAGGGACACCTACAGCCATATTAATGATTGACAGTGAATTTTCAGGCATCCAGCCTGGCTAGACTTAAACCAAGGCTCTAAGTTTTATTTTTATGAGGAAACGTGTGGTTCTTTGGAAAGCTCTCTCTTGTCTCCTTTACCAAAGCCACCTTTGCCCAAAGACTATATCTAACACTGAAGTAAGAAAAACAGTTTAAGATGAACAAATACGAAATGTTCTACACATTTCATTTTTTTATTCACACCAGAAAAATGATGTTTATTACTATTGCACTAAAAAATATGTCTATAAACAACTTGAATAATTTTTTTCAAGTGGTCATTTCATGCCTAGAGAGAATTAAAATAAATAGTGGTTGAGTCATGAAAAATATCTGAAGGCAGGCTTTTGGCTTTTTAGGAAAGGAATTTCTATTGGTGCTTTGTTGATAGGGACGTCCTTCAACTGTAAGATTCCTTTTATTTTAAAAATAGTGATATACTATAGTGATGCCCTATAGTATCTAGATATTGAATTTCTTTGTAAATAGAAATTCAAAATTTTGAAGATAAAAAGTTAAGTGTCTGAAATAGGTTTAAAAGCAAACGTTATGTTCCACAGGAGTACCCAGAGTATGTATCCTTTACCAAGTCTATTAAGAATGAGCTTTGGATAGTCATAAGCATCACTGGGAAGTCTCATGGCTTCCTCTGCAAGCCAGGATTGATGGTAGGGAAGGCAATCACAGAGCAAAGCTTGTTAATGTCTGTGGGGATGATGAGACCCCAGAGTAATTGTGGGTAGGTGGTGGCACTTAACCGCTGGAAGCCAGGAGGCCACAATTACCAAAATGGTCAACAAGGTCAGAAGGGCAGCCAACGAGGCTCTACCCATAGGAAGTTATAGGAATACTTAATAGAATATGGTTTCATTCAAGGCAAAATAGAGAAAAAGCCAAGAAGGGTGTTGCTTAACATCTATAACCAAAACATAAAGGCAGGAATGGAAGAGCAGGAGAACGAAGACAGTTACCCCAATAAAAAGTCATGATCCTTCACTCAGTACCCAGACTTGCTTGAGTCAATTGTCAGATCTGGAACCCATTGACTGAAGAGGTGTCTGGGTCCATAGGAGGAAGGATACCATGACAAATATATATTGTGATGATTCTCTCAGTCCTTCCCCAAAAGAACTTATGTTCATTTATTCAGGTGAACATATAGTATAGAATATGGGAAAATCCAAACACTTTGAGGACTATAGGGTACAGGTTCTGAGTTTCCCCAATTGAAACCTAAAGCTGCATCATAGTCCCCCTGTTAGAGTGGGGGCGTATGGTAACTAGGTAATATAATGGTGTCCTTACTAAAGTCTAAAGTCTCAGTGGGCTCACTGGGATCACAGACCCCACAGTGGTCATTTCTCCAATCACTGAGTGTTCAATTAGAATTGATATACTTGGCGTTGGTTTGCTGGCCTGTAGAGTAAGAACAATCATAGTAGGAAAGGCCAAACAGAAATCTCTGAAACTGCCTGTGTTAGTTTCCAAGTGCTGCTGTAACAGAAATATTACAAGTGGGTGGCTTTCAAAAACAAATTTATTTTCTCACAATTTAGGAGGCTAAACGTTCTGAATTCAGGCCACGGGCTTAGTCCCTTCTGCATTCAGGCCACGGGCTTAGTCCCTTCTGCATGGTCTGGGGGCAAATCCTTGTCTCAGCTTTTCTAGCATTCTTCTCAGCATTCCTTGGTTTGTTGGCGATCTCCATGTAGCATCTATCTTTCCTCCATTTGTGCTTTCTTGGTTCCATGCCTAATTTTCTGTTTTTATATCTCAAGAGTGATTAGGTTAAGACATGCCCTACACTGATATGGCCTCATTAACAGAACAAAGAACACCCTGTTCCCAAATAGAATTATGTCCACAGGTATAGGGGTTAAGATTCCAACACATATTTTGGGGGGATACAATTCAGTCCATAAGACTGCCCCACTCCCACTTCCCCTTGATCAGATAATAAATCAAAACAATATCACATCCTGGGTAGGGCTGCAGGATGGCACAGATTAGTGCCACCATTTAGAGCCTAAAAGATGCAGAGTGGTGGCCCTTAGAATATCTTCATCTAATACACCCGTCTGGCCCCTTTATAAACTAAATGGATCTTGGAGAATAGCTGAAGAGATTGCAAACTCAACCAAGAGGAACTCTAACTGAAGCCGTTGTATCAAGATGTGGGAGCAAAAACCTCAGGTTTTTTGAAGAATGCATTATTTTCCATTCCACATTATATAAGAATGTCAGAAACAGTTTGCATTCACCTAGGAGGGACAACACTACTCACTTACAGTTTTGTCTCAGAGCTGTCTTGTGCGCTATCATACTCCAAAGAGGTCTGGACTGCCTAAGCATACCACAAAATATTACTGATTCATTACATCAATGGCATCAACCTGATTGGGCAAGATAAGCACATTAACTAGTGCACTGGAAGTCTTAGTAAGATATACGCACTACAGAGGGTGGGAGATAAATTTAATGAAGATTCGGTAACCTACTTCAGTAGAGTTTTTGGAAACCCAGTGGTTAGAAATATGCCAAGCTATCCCTTTCAAAGTAAAAGACAAATTACCAAAGCTTGCATACCCTACCACAGAGAAGGAAGCACAGCACCTGGTAGGTCTGTCTAGGTTCTGAAGGCAATACGTTCCCCATCTAGGAGTACAGCTCTGGTCTGTATAGTAGGTGGCGTGCAAGGCATTTAGTAGGACACAGAACAGGAAAGGATTTTGCAGCCATACAACCAGCAGATGCTATGGTGTTGAAGGGTGTCAATCATGGGGAAAGATGTGATATATGGGTGATTTCCCATTATAATACTGGCCCATGGAATTCTGGAGGAATGTCATGCCATCTATAGGAAAGAGTTATATGCCTTTTGAGAAAGGGCTCCTGGCATGTTACTAGATCCTTGTAGAGATGGAGCTCTTCACCATGGAATATGAAGTGATCATGATCCAAAGAGACCATTATGTGCTGGGTGCTGTCAACCCCACTAAGTCAAAAAGTTAGACAGACTCAGTAGAAATTCCTCATAAAACGGAAATTGTATAACTGGAATTGAGTCTGAGCAGGACCAGAGGGAATGAATAAGTTGCATGAGCAAGTAACCCAGAAGCCCCATATCATCCAACAGAATTGCACTAATACCCTTCGCCCAAGCTTGCAACTATGGTTATATGGGGGATGGAGGGTCTTTTGTATGACCAGCCGAAAGAGGAGGAAAAAGTCACAGCCAGGCTTACAGGTGGGTTGGCTCTGTATATAGGTGGAAATTGGAAATGTTAGCTATATTATAGCCAAATTCAGAGGTGACCTTGAAAGATAGTATGAGTTGTGCACCTAGCCATCTACTTTGTGTGGAGGGAAAAGTGGCTAGATGTGATATATGTATATATATACATATTACCATCCAAGCCCAAGCCGTCATCATCTCTCTCATGAATTCTTGCAATAGCCTCCTAACTGGTCACTCTACCTTTATCTTTGACCCCTTCAGTCTCTTCACAATACGGTCACCTGAATGATGCTGTAAGAATGAAGAGCTCTTCAGCTCCAAACACACAAATGTCAACAATAAAAAGACAAACAACCCAATTAAAAAATGGACAAAGGACTTGAATAGACATTTCATGAAAGAAGATACACGAATGGACAGTTAAGCACGTGAAACAATGCTCAAGGTCATTAGTCATCGTTGTTAGGTGCCATCAAGTTGGTTCTGATTCATAGTGATGCTATAGGACAGAGTAGAACTGCCATATAGGGCTGGTGGATTTGAGCTGCCGACCTTTTGGTTAGCAGCCGAGCTCTTTACCACTACGCCAG